CAGTACCACTGCCAGACACTGTAACTATATATAAATTATCATTAAGGACCCCAGTACCACTGGCAACACTGTAACTATATATACATTGTCATTAAGGATCCATGTACCACTGCCAACACTGTAACTATATATAAATTGTCATTAAGGATCCCAGTACCACTGCCAGACACTGTAACTATATGTAAATTGTCATTAAGGATCCCAGTACCACTGCCAACACTGTGACTATATATAAATTGTCATTAAGGATCCCTGTACCACTGCCACAGACTGTAACTATATATAAATTGTCATTAGGGATCCATGTACCACTGCCAACACTGTTAACAACTACACAATTCAATAACTCAGAGGCACTGTATTTAACCAGAACAAATTAACGGTAGGGATTTCAATCACTTTAAATACTTGCTGATTGGCTGATTGGTTGCGAGTCCTCATGATCAAGGGCCATAATTAACTGTTAGTAAGTAGTTGAAACATTGGTATTCCACAGCTATGTGGTATAATGAAAGCTTGACAGCGGCATTTAGTCCAGACACCCGCTCAGTGGTGAGTCTGATCCTGACTCCCTGTGTGTATGTAGAACTTTGATTTTGGGTCGCAGGTTTGAAACCTATGTGGGGCTGCAGGCGCCAGGTACTGGCCGTAGGTCAGTATTTTTTCTCTGGGAACTCTGGCTTTCCTCCACCACCAAAACCTGGCACTTCCTTAAATGACCATAGCTGTTAATAGGACGTAAAACACAAACAAAACAAAACCTTTACTTTCTTCAGAAGATAGGTTTCATCCACCTCCTGAAAGCAGGACCTAAATCCCCGAACAGGTGTTGTTTAATGATATTCCCTCAAGTCTTCCAGGCAAAATTTCCAAATTTCCTGAGGTAAAATTTCCAATTTTCCAAGCTGCAACTCTAAGTATTTGATGTCTTATTTAACAGTCTAAAAAGATGTACTTGTAATTGTTTTGATTTTGTTTATTATTTTCCAGACTTTTAAAATTTTGTATTTAAGCGTTAAGCCTGGAGCCCATAGAAATGAATAGTAAAATCTTAACTATCAGTATCAAAATTCCAACAACTTGTTCTGATTGGTTGATTACACAATCATCAGACAGGTAGGCATTGTAACAGGTTAATGTATAGTCATAGACAGGTAGGTGTACAGACAGGAAACTCCATCTGAATACTCTCAACAAGAAATTCTTCATTTGGATTGTGTTGTGTCATTCATTCGTTTCTGGATCTGTCTGAAGAAGATTTGTTGGAACATTCACATATATGTTCTGGGAATGGCTAAAAGCTGGAAACCATAGACACTTCTAATGACTTCCTGTTGTTTTAGAAAAGAAATGGAAGCCATGCAGAGATGTTTCCTAAAGCATCTGTCTGACACAGATCTGTAGACACACACATATATATAATACGTATATCTATAAGTCCCCTCCCCCTATGACGTTGAAGCGTATATATAAAATGTAATTGACTGAAAATCCATTTCTGTTACTTAATATTTTTCAAACATTTGTAGAACACAAAATTGTAAAAAAAAGATACGTTGACAGTTACAACATAATTTGACAACTGTTATTTCAAAATCTAAGTTCACAAATACTGGCGGACAGAAGCCTTACAAGATTCAATCCTTCATACTGGGGCTTACCGGTATATGTCAACCCCCAATATAGAGGAGTATAGCAGACAGTTGTGTTTCTAGGAGTCTATCGGCGGACTACAGCGTCTTTGTAAGTACTAAATGTTAACAATTGCAGCTATATATCTGGGATACGTAATAATGAAACTATTGATGGAGTAGTAAATGCCAGAAATATCAGAGAGCAGGAAATTCACAAATACAACAATCTTGTCTGTTTTATGATTAATTTCAGAGTTATTTAAAACAATTTCTGTGGGAAAAATGCATCATCATGTTCCCCAATTGACTTTGGGTAACAATGGCATTAGGCCAAACAAGCAAAAATCGGTGTGATTTCGAAAAAAACATATTGTAAGTAAGTAGGTGTGCAACTCGTTTGATATTATTGTGATATCACCACACAATGGAGGGGTAATTAAGTGTTTGTCACCACACAATGGAGGGGTAATTAAGTGTTTGTTACCACACAATGGAGGGGTAATTAAGTGTTTGTCACCACACAATGGAGGGGTAATTAAGTGTTTGTCACCATACAATGGAGGGTAATTAAGTGTTTGTCACCACACAATGGAGGGCAATTAAGTGTTTGTCACCATACAATGGAGGGTAATTAAGTGTTTGTCACCACACAATGGAGGGGTAATTAAGTGTTTGTCACCACACAATGGAGGGGTTATTAAGTGTTTGTCACCACACAATGGAGGGTAATTAAGTGTTTGTCACCACACAATGGAGGGTAATTAAGTGTTTGTCACCACACAATGGAGGGGTAATTAAGTGTTTGTCACCACACAATGGAGGGGTAATTAAGTGTTTGTCACCACACAATGGAGGGGTTATTAAGTGTTTGTCACCACACAATGGAGGGTAATTAAGTGTTTGTCACCACACAATGGAGGGGGTTATAAAGTGTTTGTCACCACACAATGGAGGGTAATTAAGTGTTTGTCACCACACAATGAAGGGTAATTAAGTGTTTGTCACCACACAATGGAGGGGTGATTATGTGTTTGTCACCACACAATGGAGGGGTAATTAAGTGTTTGTCGTTACCCTCATTTGGTCCGTTCATGCGTCTGTCTGTATGACATCATGATTAGACGTTGTCAACTTAGACTTTGTGTTGACAAAGTCCAACTATTATCAAACTTTATTTTGTGGATAAAGGTTCAGGAGAACTTCTTCAACATATCATCTGTAGGTGACTGTTACCGATATTTTCAACTTCACTAGACTTTGGACAGACTTTCTTGGGTTCTTGGGTAAAATGATTCTACGTACCCGCCGGTTGAACCATCAAATTCACCCACGCAGTCAACTCTGTCTTTGAGTGCATGCATGAGCATTTCTTTGACATGTGAGGCGCTAACAAATATAAACCTGTGTCCTGCCACTTGACATTAAACAATCACAATATTGCTGACGTCAAATTCATTGTTCTCACCACAACTTCATCCAAAGTCAACATTCACCTCCGTACTAAAAGCACTTATTCAAAACAGAGCGGACTACAAGAAAACATCCACTGTACTGATCAACTAATTGAAATATTTTTGATAACTTTGCAACTTGAATTCAGACCCAGGACCAACAGACCCTCTACTATCTAAAAGCAGGAAACTTTGACCGATACTATATATGTGAAGATTAGAGTCTCTCTCAACTGTGGGACGACAACTTGCGATTTACAGCATATATGGAATATTTAACTCCAGTGATAATTCCAGTATCACATACGACCACTGCTAACTTTGAGTATTTGTCTGAATTTTAATTTCCTTGCGGCCTACATTGTATATTTTATGTCGCATGATTATTTAAACCTTTCCTATGGCGTAATATTGAGAACCGGAATTTGCACTTAAACTCTGTAAATGATTATATAAAATTGTTCTGATGACGGTTGGCCTAGCCATCTGAAATATACTTGAGTTTACCATTACGGAATCCTGTGTGTTGACGCTTTATCACGTTCACTTACCTAGTTGTATTTATCTCCCTTTAGTGGAGCTCTCTACTAGAATACTTTGGTGTCCACCTCTGATTCCTCCACTGGTTCATTGACTGACCACACTGACTGACTTGTATTTATTACAGTGTTCAACCTCTCCTCCTAATAATTGTGTTGCTTTTCTGATACATTTATTATCATATACTCAGTGTGTCTTAGAAATCAAAGCCGACTGCATGGGTACAAATGGGGAAAGGTATTCTGCAAAACAAGGAAAACCGGGAATTTTCAAATGTTGACAAATTCTGTTATTCATGTGAAATGGAGTTGCATCTTGCATTGTTTTATCACTGATATAATTGATAGAGGATTTTTTTGAGAAAAGGGGAGCTGTTTCTTATTGATGAATGGGTCCATTTAACAGACCGGGAAACGGAGGAAGAATGCGCATATTTGATCAGCAATGCAAAGCAACATCCTCTAAAAAATGCAGTTCTGCTTGGTGATTATCTGAAAGCTTGCAGATAAGGCTTTATATATATGTATATCATGCTATAGAGCTTGATGCATAAATCAAGTTTGTACCTTTTTCTATGATTTTGTCCTATATTGTATAGGACTTTATTATTACGTAAGAATTTAGCTTATTATCATCTCCTGAGTATATAATTGATTTTCTAAAATTATTTTGTAATGATTCAAATACAAGGTAAAAGGAATGCTGATTTACGGTCTACGTGTCAAGTACCTGTACATTAAATGATGTTTTCTTCACTGAAAATCAACGTTATGTCAGGAATAAATTTCAGTTTAAATACATTTGTATCTCTCAGGAGAAGGGCAAGTTTGTTTTTGTTGCATTATGTTCTGAGTTTATTTAAATAATAATAATAATAATTTGAGGTTCTAATATAAACCGCTTTATCACAATCTAGTTTGTAGGTCATCTCAAAGCGGTTCACAAATTCTTATCTGTGGTTATTATAGGGCCTTTGCAACCAGCCATTACCTTTCTCAACTCCCTGGGGAGCATATACAGCCAGTGCTGCCATTTCGGTGCTCACAGCTAGCATTCAACAATTCTAGCACTGCCCAATCACGTACTCATTTACAGCTGAGCAGACTGGAACAAGCGGAGTAAAGTATCTTGCTCAAAGATACAACATAGTGCCGTGCCGTGACTCGGAATGGCAACCCTTCGGTCAGGAGCCCGCGTCCTACCACTTGACTACTGTGCCTCCTCATTATTTTGTTTATCTTTTTATAGCTTTTTGAGTTTACTATTATCAGGTCCAGGATTATTTTTGTTTGACATAAGGGACTAAACAATAAGATCCGGTGAAAAAAAGGGATTTTTGCGGTATGTTTGATTCTATTTATTATGTTTATTGTAGCCTAAAGGTTGTGAGGCTGGACGACTCGCCGGGTACAGGAGACAAAAATATCATCATGTGTGATGCCGTTTGCAAAAAACCTGTCCGGAAAACCAAACCGTTAAGGTCAGTACAGCTTCAAGATCGAGGTCAATTCTGATATAATGATCATACCCAATGTAAACTGGTTCACCCGTTGTCAGTATAATGTGACCAGGCGGAATGCTGTGCTTGCATGGTGCCTTCAGCATGGTATTTCAGTGAGATAGCACTATAAAGTCGGCATCAGATCTGTGCTATAACAAGTTCAAGAAGGCAAATACACCAACACATCCTGTCTCTGGCACACGTACACACACACATGGCGGCATGTCCTTGAGTGATGTAATTAGCTGTTGATGGACATTAAACATGTAAAACAAACCAGCCAACAATCTAAAAACCTTGTCAGAATGATATCGGTGAAGTGTTGTAGTTCCGGGTCCATGATTTTGATGTTACGATTGTTTTGATACACCGTATAAAGTTGCCTTGTTAAAGCCCCATGAACATCTGTGGACACCATCATTATATGACCATATAAATGTTGTAAGGTTTGAAAACCTGAAGAAAACGAATTTAACAAAATGTTTTCACTGTAACAGGATGTTATTACAAAGCAAGAAATGTTTTATGATATATGGGTCTTGTACCTGTGCATGTACCAGCTGAAATGACATCTTGTTTAATTGTATACATAAAATATAACAATATCATCAAACTGCGGAGTCATTCCCAATTGTATAAATAAAATATAAAATTATTATTCAATACAAAATTATTTCCCGATCTTTTAAGTGATATATAAAAATATTAATAATATTTTTATATATCACTTAAAAGATCGGGAAATAATTTTGTTTTTTATTCAACACAAAAGTCTTTTCGGATTTACTAAATGAAATATGAAAATATTATTCAGTACAAAAGTGTTTCCCAATGACTGTATTGTTTAGATTACCAGCATTTTTAGGTCACCTGAGCTTTAGTTCAAGTGAACTATTGCTATCTGTCTTCGTCCGCCGTCGTCGTCCGTCGTGCATTGTCCGTTAACATTTTACCTTTTCAACTTCAGCTGAAATAACAGCAGAGGGATTTCATTAATATTTCATGGGAAGGTTACTGACATTTCCCTGACCAAGTGTAGTTATTTTACGGGTCAATCAGAAATCCAATATGGCTGCCACAGCCGCCATTTTGAAAAACTATTTCAAACTTAAAGTCAAGTTCTGCTGGGCCGATTGAACTGAAACTTGGTAGGAATGATCGACTCATGGTCCTGACAAAGTGTTGATATTTTTCGGGTCAATCAGAAATCCAATATGGCCGCCACGGCCGCCATTTTGAAAAACTATTTCAAACTTAAAGTCAAGTTCTGCTAGGCCGATTGAACTGAAACTTTGTAGGAATGAT